AATAAATGTAAGAAAATCTTATTTTATAGCAAAAAATAAATGCTACAATATGTCTATTTGTTATAGCATACGAAAATGTTATAATAGATGGGGGTCTATTATAGCTGCGGCTGTCAGAGCGTTTACAAAAATACTACGAAAACAATATGGTAGCATTTTTACGGTGCTACTAATACCGATATTTCTTGTAGTGGTGTGGCCTTGATTGTATTACATTATAACCTCATAGTCGTGTGGCTTACTTTCTGATGCGTTGATCTTGACTTGATTGTTTGATATGGCCGCATGAATTCCATGAATTATGAAACCGTGAATTGCTTGATATATGATTTCAGATGTCGAAAATTTGCAATCTGGATTATGGTTACCTAAAATCTCTCAGGAGATAATTATTTGCAATGGGCATTAGATACTAAAATCAACATGAGATCAAAAGAACTCTGTGAGACTATCATCAAAGATAACAATGAGAATGATATAAATAGATACAAGGCAATAAGTATTATTCGCCATAATTTCATCAAGGGTCTAAAAGATCAGTATCTCACTATTGAAAATCCTATAGAACTTTGGACCGTTTTACAGCGGAGATATGATCATCAGAAAACGGTGTTATTACCAAAGACCACATATGACTGGAAACACATGAGGATCCAGGATTTCAAAACCGTGGATACATATAACTCAGCTCTGTTCAAAATTGTTTACAGGATGAGACTTTGTGGTGAAACTGTAACAGAAAAGGATATGTTGGAAAAGACCTTCTCCACATTCCATTCTAGCAATGTGTTGCTACAGAAAAAATACAGACAAAAGGGTTTCACCACTTATACTGATCTGATTTCATGCCTATTACTGGCTGAGAGTAATAATGAGTTGCTCATGATGAGCAGTGAGATGAGACCTCCTGGCTCAACCCCATTACCTGAAGCCAATAAGGCTATAAAAGAAAAAAAAAAGATTCTAAAGAAAGTAACCACGTCCAGAGTGATAAACCACACGGTCATAAATGTGGTGGATGGAGAGGACGTGGTGGGCGTGGACACTATTGCTCCTATGGCCGTGGGAACCACTATAACCGTGGTCGTGGACCCAATTTCGGCCATGGTTGAGGCAGAGGATGTGGTGGTATCTCTAAACCACCACACTCGTCAAAATCAGTGTGCCACAGGTGTAAAATGGACAACCATTGGGCTAAGAATTGTAGGACTCTCAGACATTTTTGTGACCTCTACCAAGAGAGCCCGAAAGGGAAGAATCCAAAATCCCATTTCGTCCACCATGATGGGAAAAACGACGTTGATCATGAGCAGGATGTTCTTATTGATTATGAGACTTCAGATTGCCTAAGAGAATGAATTTCGACATTCTGTGTGTGTTTTTTTTTATTTGGTGTTCACTTTGTTTGTTCTGTATGTTTTCTTTATAATGATATGATTTCTTTGAGTTTATTTTATTGCTATTATCTTTTCTGATTTTTGCTTAATAATATGAATGATTTTCATTATTAAAAACACCAATATGAGTTTAAATTGCAAGTATAGTAAGTCCAATAAAGGACCACGGCAAGGACATTATATCATTGCCTAAAGGACATGATTTGTATTCACCCAGAGAAGCCATTGAGATATAAGATATAAAGATATAAGAACGGTTTCCATATTGAAACAATGGGAAAAGGAAATAAAAGTTCCTTCAGATTACAGAAAAAAAAAAATCGCCTAAGGCCATAAGAAAGTGGTCAAGACTATACCTGCATCCTCTACTGATCTTTACTATGCCAAAATCAGTATGATAAGTGGCAAATACCATGGTAACCAGAGTGTTTACCCACGAAATTATTCATTTTATGGCATGACTGGATTAGCCATCATGGTCTAAACTTGATGCAAAGATTGATATACAAATAGGCACAAAGAGTTATCTCATAAAATCTCACGTGTGTAACATGTACACAATGAAAACTCATTAGGCCATAATGTCCCAAGTATTTAAATATTATAGTATGTTCATGAGGGGGTAGTGAGGACAAACCCGTGGTTCATGACCATACTATAAACGGCTTGGCCGAATTCTCTTATAAACGCAAAAGACCATTCCCTATAAGGTCCAAAGCTTGGGGACACACGAAATTAACATGTATTTAAATTTAATACGCATCAGGCCATCTAGTGGGAATAGATATTCCCATCTCAAATTGATTACGGATCATGAACCAAAAATATCTCATCTTAAGACATTTACAAATGCCACCACAAATATATGTGTCGTCTAAGATTAAGAAAAAGATGGGGATATATGTTGGATATGTTTTCTCCCACGAATATTAATACCTAGAACTGACTATGGGTGATTAGTTTGAGGCCAGGTACACGGATTGCATGTCTAATGAATCCGACTATCCAACATCAGGGGGAGAAAATAATAAGCTGGTAAAAGAATGATAAGAGAAATAGAATGGAAAAAACCAGCATTGTCTTGGTAAGATCCTCGGACTAAAGAAAGTGAAATAAGACGTCCAAAGATAAATACAAATATTATACATTTATAAAGCTAGCAAATCAAATGTTAGACACATTTGCTGACCCGAAAAGACGAGAAAATAAAAGAAAAGAATGACTAAATCATACCAGCTTGCACCAACGAATTTGATGTCATAAAGAGACACAGTCAAGTTGTAACAGAGTCTAGACAAGGTAGACCAATAAGTTCCATGAGATAAGAATCCTTGGAAAGAAAAGAGAAAAGTGCATAGAATGATAAAAAATCCGAGGTCAAAGGAAACCAGACCAGACATGGAGATAAGGCTGGCCAGCTGAACATCTAAGGTACCAAACCATGTAGCTTGGACGCCAAGCTTCTAGGTAATAAAGGTCCTAGATAATAATTTCAAATCGATTAGATCATGTTTGGAACACTATGGAACCACATAAGAGTGTCGACACATAGATGATAGATTCATTTAAGGAAGCACATATAGATAGCCCTTGAACTTATAGATATAAAGCGAGGATCATGAACCCACGTAATAGAGTACTTGTAAAATCATATCAAATGAAAACGTGGGGTTAAAGTATCTAGAGAAAGAGAAGCGTATTGGCCACATATATATATATATATATAGACGTCATAAAATATAAACCACTGGATGTAAATGGGTCTTGTGAGGGGAAAAAAATCGTGAGATGTAGAACATGATCACGTGGTCTAAAGTTGTTCATGTTTCTACTTACAACATTCAAGCATGACTTGTTACACAAGGATTCTCACAGAGACCAAGAATAGATTATGAGGAGATATACTCCTATGTGGTGGATGCTACTACATATTTCAAATTGTTAAGGTCTGGTCATAAGAAAGAAATTAGATTAAATATAAAGGATGTACTAAGCTGTATATGGTCCACTGGATAATAATGATAAAGGAACCAGAAGATATTGAGCTCAAAGATGAAAAAATAAATTCTCAAGAAACAGCAGGGCTGAACTATTTGTGGACTGAAACAAAGCAGCTGCATATAGTATGATAGATACTAAGTGAAAGAAAGCTATAAGAACAATTCAAATCAGTCCATGTATCCTTATAAAAGAAATTTGATTTCCTTATGTGTATTTTATACTAACCAGCCTAAAGAAGGGTTATTTGGTTTTATTGTTGATTTGTTTTCAGATAGGTTTATGTAATATACATGGTGGTACACGGTTTCACAGCAACATCATCGTGTGTGTGTGTTTGTTCGAGAGTGTGTGATGGTCGGTAGGATGATCAATCACATCCGCATGGACCATGAGACAATCCGTAAGCGTCTGTGGTCGAGGTCCATCCAAGTAAGATAGTCGACAACAAAAGAGACATATCCATCTGGATAGTATCCGTATTCGTATCCGTATCCGTGAGTATGATTTGGTCGAGAACCATAAATCAACATGCCCGACCAGATTATGGAGTGAACGACTAACAAAGAAGCACATCGCATCCAAGTATTCATTGCCCACGAGTTAGAGAAGAAATACAAGTAGTTCAAATTCATTCAAACTGAAAGACTCAAGATTGAAAAATTTTCAGTGATGCTCAAATCAGGGGGGAGTAATATGTATTGTACTATTTTTCCTTATCCATGGTTTTACCCGGATTTTGTCCCGTTGGATTTTTGGGTTTTTTCTCAAAATGTTTTAATGAGGCAACATCCAAAGCGTATTACAAGCTATGTACGGTTATGACATTCAAGGGTGAGTGTTATGAACCAATTAGTGGATGGGCCATAACCATATTATTTAGGCTCAATCTGTGTAGTCTATATAACGGTTTAGATTTAACATTTTTTAAATTTGTATTGGCTTTATACTTTCCATTGATCTCCCATGTAATTCCCTATATAAGGAATCCTATGTTAATAGTAATACACACCAATTCCTCTATGCTCTCATTAGTTTACAACATATTTATATTTTTGGTATTATTTTGGAATATAATAGTAAAGTATACAACGTCATCAAAATTAGTATATTCAAATATTACATTAAAAGAAATTATAACAAACATAAAAATATTTAACAAATTTTGAACTATTATTTATTTCCAGTTTTTAAAATATGCAATTTTACTACCTAAAATACTTTCAGTCATTTTAATAATTTAAAAAATTATAAATTTTTATATATCTACAAATTTTAAAAATACTGTGTATTTTTACTTTTTGATAATTATACAATTTTTAAATCAATTTTATTAATCAGTTTATATAAGTTGATTGAATATATTTTATCCAAAAAATAGATATCAAAGATTATAAATTTAAATATATATATATATATATATATATATAATTTAAAACAAATAAATCATTTATTTGATCTTAAAAAAATTCTATTAAAATATGGGTAAAAAAATAAAATCTAATACAACGTATTTTTTAAAAAATGTTTTATTACTGCACATAATATGATACACATTATTCAAACAATAATCGATTTATATTATTATTTACAAAATAATTTTTTGCATTCATACTCTCACATTAATTCACACAGCAGTTAATATCTTATTTTAGGAAAGACATTAATGAAATAACCTCCATTTTACAGTCCAGCATACAAATATTAAAAATGTTTTTTGCGAAATTGTAAAAAAGTTAATCCATAAAAGGAAAATAAAAGGCAAAAGATTTTTGTAGGAATGATCCTCTATTTATCCTTACAACAAACAGAATCAAGAATTTGTGATGAGCACATCCAGAGATAGTAGAAGCCTTTCTAAAGGAGAGCTTCGATGTCAATTTCCACGAAAGAGCATGGATCAGTAATGTCAAAGTTGTTCAAAACCTAGAGCCAAAAAAAAAATGAGAAACCAACCGCTAAATATGGGGTTATTATAATCAAAACAAGATGAAGAAAGTGTACCTGAGGGTGCACGATCCCAAAGTTACCAACATGTTTCCCCTTGTAAATGATACTGGCTTGTCTACCAGTTAAAAACTCAGGTTCCTTTTCGAGATTAGACCAAGAAAAACAAAAGAGTTTAGTGTGTCTGCGTTTGGTAATCAAAGACAATGTAACTCGTAAATATAGNTTATAATCAAAACAAGATGAAGAAAGTGTACCTGAGGGTGCACGATCCCAAAGTTACCAACATGTTTCCCCTTGTAAATGATACTGGCTTGTCTACCAGTTAAAAACTCAGGTTCCTTTTCGAGATTAGACCAAGAAAAACAAAAGAGTTTAGTGTGTCTGCGTTTGGTAATCAAAGACAATGTAACTCGTAAATATAGGAGATTACTTCAGAGCGGTTTATATAGTATCCTGTATTGTCACCGGTTGGAATAAATGGGACTCCCATTACTTCCATGATTCTATCGACGAGGCCATGTATAAGCTGGCATTATACATGAGAAGTCTCTCAAGATAAGATTTTAAGCATTATCCATGGCCAAAAAATGAGTTGGGAATAATCTATATACCTCAAATCCAGAAGTAGCACCACAGTGTAGTGCAGCGAGATGGTGGCGATTGGATGCACCGACGTCTTTTGTTTCATTCAATAAGGTCACGTCCCCAATTTCATAGATCTTGAAACAACAAGGAAAAAGAAAAAGAGAAGAAAAGAAATTGATCAAGAGACTTCAAATTAAGGTAAGGTGGTAATTTGAGAAAGGAAGAAAATCTTACCTTGATAGGTTTAGGATGGTCTTTGTTAGAACCAACTGTCTTCAGTAATCCAGGCATTAGCCTCGTTCTTGCTCCCTGTTTAAAGAAACAATAGTAACCAGGATGCAAGAAAATGGTCATGAGTACAGTATGTGAAAAAGGGATCTAAACATGTTTGAGCAGCACCTCGAAATCAGTAGACCGTGGGTTCCCAATTATAACAGCTGAATTGTTATCTTCTCTATTTAGCAATGCAAAGTTGTCCTTGTGCGAGCACAGTATCCATGTCACCACCTCGGTGTACACATTCATTGCAATCTAAAATTGCGAAAGATGAATAAGATAGCCTTATAAAAGTCTTAACTGTATTTCACAAGGGAAAAACAAAGGGATATAAACGAAGCAAGTGGAGGTGCTAGTAACCTCTAATCTGAGAAGATCGCTGAGCTCATTCAAAGGCAGTGGTTTTATCGAAGCAGGCTTTCTTGTCGGGATGTTATTGTACCCATAGGCAATGGCGACTTTCTGGCAAAAGATAGCAATAGCATTCAATTAACGTAGACAAAATCATTCGTACCGCCAACAAGGTATTAAGGTCTCGGTTCTGAAAAATTACCCCCATAACGTCACATGGGTGGAGCATGTCGCTTCGACTTGGAGGAACATGTACTTTTACGAGACACTGGTTATCACTTGATATTGAACGCTCAGCTGGCAACTGCATTAGGTTCAGCAGACTTGTTACCTGGAGGTTACACATGCCAATTCACAGAACAAAAGGATTAGAGAAAAAAAAAACACAAACACACTCACAGCAGAACAGAAAAAGAAACTCCTAATATATATACCAAGATTTACTTTCACTGCAACCTCTATATCGACAATTCAGCGATTAAAAAAGAATGGTCCATTGACCAATAAGTAGCAAAACAACTTTATCGCCGTCGTTACCTCTTCCACCTCCAAATAGACTCCAATTGAGTCAGTGATATAGGAGACAGGAACTTCCATATCGTAGACTGCAAGATCCGGATAGATGTATGACTCTCCGCTGTCATACGTAACCTCAATAGGCTCAATCTCGAATTTCTTCTCACAATATTCAGAAAAGGTTGTAACCTGGAAAACAGAACAGTGGTGAATGACATTAATCATTTAAGCACAGTGAATGTAGATTTGTCAACCGCATTACCATTGTATTTAAAACAATCTTGGCCTTGGTCAAATCAGTTGCTGTGCATTCAATGAAGACGTTCTTTGTCTGCAGGCTAATTGCTGAATGTGCACCATTGATAATTGGTGGCAGTGACAACACCGTTCTGCAAAAAGTGAACTTTCATTACTATCAGTTGCTACACATAGCTTACTGCGAAGAACCACTATATACCTTTTACTGTCGTATAAAACAGGGAAAACGGGTGAGCTCTCAATTATGTGTAGATACTTCTTCAACTTCAAATCTGACTGCAAAAACCAAAAACAAAAAGTTAAAATAAAACAGTCACCGGAAAAGGATACACTTATAAGAAATAATTTCTTCAGTGCAGTTGCAGTCCCAGTAAATATTCAGACTCATATAACCAACATAATAACTATTCTTGTTTAATAAGAGAAAACATTTCCATTCATGATTTACCTTGTAGAATTCAATTAGTTCGTCAGCCCTGAAGCTCTTCGTCTGCACAAAGAGATTGGTATTAGCCAGGGTAACAAATATGAAACCATCTTTAATAAGATGTTATCTTTGAAAAACAACATGAGACATAAAATCATTTTATATGTATCAGCAATTTGATGCGACTGTTATAAACAACTCGAAACAAAATCACATATCTATACCAGTATCAGAGAAAGGCAACTCACTTGCTTCAGAGGTACAAAATTTATATCCATTGGCGACAGAGCCTGTAAATACGAAGCAAACACCATAGAATCAGTGACCCACAGTAAAAGTCAAAGAAAGAAACAAAATTGTTTGTGACAATGATTATCAGCTCAGCTCGGTATTCCAAAGCACTAAACTCAGACGCATGGCCATTTTACTTAATACCTGAACAGGATCCAAACCAAAAAAAAAAAAATCTGAACCGAAATAGCAAATAGTTTCGTATTGAACAAGTTTGGATACCCGACCCCCAGATCGATATACATCGAGTCACTGCCCTATTAGGACATAAAGATGTTTTGAACACTAGTCCAGCTACATAAATAACATCAAACAAGAACAGTAAAGGTAGAAGATAATTAACAAAAGGGGAAAAGAGTAGAATACTCACTTCATATGTGAAAGGGCCACGTAATGTATCTAAGTCATGAGTTCCAATAGCAACCAGGGATCTGTGCCTGAAATATGCAGTGATGAAACATGAATAACATATTTTGCACAAATTAGAAGAGATGTCAACACAATCCAGAAAGTGATATTTGTAGAACTGTATGGTAAGAGTAAAATTTTCATTACATCGTTTTAAAATCTCAATGCAAAATTTACAATATTTTTTGTGCAGTTCATTTTTCTAAAAATATTATTAGATGCATCATCAGTAATGTTTTTTTGTTTAGAAAATATACAAAGCTAAATGTTTTTTAATTTGTGTGCACAAATCTTTTTTTTTGAAATCTGAAAGTACAACTAAAAAGAAACGGAGGGAATAACATTTACCTGCAAATGTTCTGATGTAGCTTGTCCTGAAGATCAATAAAGCTGCTGTAACGGGCCTCATCAAAGGCTACACCTCTTAAAACAGCACAGACAATATACGGGCGAATCTGACATGTCTGTAGAATGGGGAAACATCAATAACAAGGAAAGAAAAACAAAAGAAGGTTGTAGTGACAGGCGTAAGATATACACACCTGATAAGATCTAACATTCATTTTAAGCATATTGTCGTTGCCGATGTCAGACAGTTTATACGTTGGTATCACCTCTTTCTTGTTGAAAATACGAAGAGCTTGAGCAAGCCCTTCGAGACAGAGCAAGTCATACCTGCGATGATTAACATGTAAATACTAGAAATTCTCTTCTTAAACAAGTATGATCAAAAAGTAGAAATTGTTCACCTGTTGGCAGGAATCTCAATCTTGTAGATAACTTCTTCGTCATCATCAGATTCTTCTTTGATATGTTTTTCTTTCCTAATTATTGCTTTCTCAGTTGTCTAGTCATTGCATGGGAAAAAAAAGAAAAGAAACTAATCAGCGGAAAACAAATTAACCACAAAACGGACAGAAAGTGGCACTCACCACAGCATCAAGCTCAATACCAAACACTAGACACAGATCCTCAAACTCTTCATTAGCTACAGTTAAAAGGGAAAAAAGAGCATAACGTATCAACCAAACAAGAAGTAAGAACACGCAAGTTTTGGACTGAAGAAGGAAAAGTTTCTTAGTGTTTACTGTAGGATTCTCCGAGGGCAGCGAACAAGCGGTCTCTTCCGACACTAATGATAGGCATTGTCGGATTATTTCCTGCGGAAGACAAAAGATGAAAAATTTATGGTTGGGTTTGCTTTTTTAGGCATGGCGCCAGCTGCTATAAGATAACATCGGAGTGTATCCAACGGATCGAGAAAGAAAGTATCAACTTGCCAAGTAGCAATCGATATTGTTTTNCCTGCGGAAGACAAAAGATGAAAAATTTATGGTTGGGTTTGCTTTTTTAGGCATGGCGCCAGCTGCTATAAGATAACATCGGAGTGTATCCAACGGATCGAGAAAGAAAGTATCAACTTGCCAAGTAGCAATCGATATTGTTTTTCAATATTTATAGCCTAACGAATTCAACCAGTTGAGCAACAGGAGATATTGGTGGGAGATGCTATGACACTGACAGAGACTTACCCGTTAAATTTGGTCGGGGATTGTTGAAGCGCAGCGGCGGCGATGCAATGAGGATGGGGCTACGCGAGAGTGGAGACTGGAGGAGAGACGGAATGTGACTTTCTTTAGGTTAAATATAGGGACTTAAATCGCCCTACTAACTCTCTTGTGTATTCTATATTGCCCCACTAATAAAATATATTATCTTGTTTATCAAAGTGTGACAACAATCATAATCAGTCTCATTTGGCCCACAGAACCTTGGAGATCATGCTTACATGTCAAGCTCACAGAGCTTCTCAGCTTTAATTTTTTAATGGATCAACTTTGTTAGGAATGAAATAATGTTACATTTAATTTCTTACATTTAGGACTATAATATTATAGACATTTTTAAGGGACCAACTCTACTAGGTATAAAACAATATATTTTATTTCCTTACATAAAAGCTACGGAATTACCTAATATGATTAACATATATATGTAATTAGTGATTATGAATAATACATATTTTTGTATCCTCTCTCTTTTTTGTTTAATTTTAAATTATTAAAATAAATTAAACAATCACATTTAAATATATAAAAAAATTTAAATTTTTTCTTATAGGTTATATTTTTAAATTTTTTAAACGACCATAAATAACTAAAAATAGTAAAATCACACATTGAAAATTTTATGATCAATGGTTTAACTTTTTTTTTTTCTAAAGAAGATACAAATTATCATTAATCGTACAAATATGAAGTATCATTAGTAGATATTCATACTATAAATATGTTAATTTAAAAATTTCAGTGAAAAGGTTTGAGGTTAGTAGATACAAATTATAGTATACGAAATATTTTTGTAGTTTGTTTTATTTGCTTCTTTGTTTAATATCTTTTAGTTTGTTTAGATAATTTAACTAATTTTAAATTAGATTTATTAATAGTTTAAATATTTTGATTTTTTTGTCAACTTTTAATGTTTAACAAATATTTTTTGGGATGATTTCAGATATTGGTTACAATCCAATCCAAACTGAATTGAGAAGATCAAATCGAATCCAATCCGATAATTAGTAAAATTCAAATAGGATTTATGATAATAATACCAAAATCTGAAAATACGTGTCAATCACTAAAACCGACGAAGTTTCAAACGTCCAGACCTATGATGATTTAAGATACCAACATTTGCGTTCATCATTTTATAATCGATAAATACTGTAGTATTGCAAAATGTTAAAAACCATTTAATGAATCTATATTATAATGATTCAGTTTAAAGGCTCCTTAGGGTGTCCACATAGGCAGATTGTGGGTCCCACATTTTTATATTAAAATAGATAGTTGTTTTAAAATGGCTACAAACAAAGAATATCAGTTTAGTCAAGTGGTCTAAGACCCCATGTTTGGTCTCCAAGGACATGGGTTTAATTACCACTGCTCTCATGCATAAACCAATTAATGTCATCATCATAAAAATATTTTTTAAAGACACATAGTCTTGATAAGATGGTTATAAACAATGAAATACACTTTAGCCAAGTGGTATAAATGTCTAATTAAGTATGCAAGATTGTGGGTTCAAACCACGCAATGTATTTTTGATTTTTTTTTTATTTAGGTTTATTATCATATGGGCTTTTTGTTTATAAGGTTCTTATGTTTTTTTTTGGGCTTATTGTTTTAAAGATCAAAATAGTTGTATAAACCCTAAACCTTAATAAGTTCAAACCCAAAATAGTTAAAAATGAATCCAAAACGAATAATAAAACAAAAAACAAAAAAAAACAAGTCTCACGTGGTTGCCTACGCGGTTAAAACTATCCTATTATAATATAGCTCAACCCAAAAATAATAAAAAA